AGGTCATGAGGACATAAGCAGTAGAGCCTGCTGAGTTAGTTTTTATATTTGAGGGCATAGCCTCCCAAGCCAAACCACTAATTAGCCCTGAGGAGATTAAGGCATGGAAGGAAACTAAAAAAAAAAAAGACTCGTTGGGAGCCTCACCACATAGGAACAGGAGGATTTGGACTAACACGTATAGCCATGGGTATCACGGGTGTATAAGCGGTACCAAGAAATATTGGCTTCGTCTCCAAGATATAACTGAGAATGAATATCTTCACAGTACAAAAGACGTCTCTGGTCGGTTTCGATTGTACCCTCGCCAGAAGTACGATATAGTCGAAACCGGTCAAATACTCTCTCGCTATGAAGATATTCGTTCTCATTCATACCTTTTCCCCATTTGTCATAAGGAACACGGTTCATATATTGCATTATTTAAGAGGAACCAAACAACTTTTACAGGCAGTGTGTCTTTATGTTGCGAAGCATAGCAACAATAGGAGACATAACCCAGAAGAAAGTAACTGTCCTCTGTTGCAGAACTACCAATCTCCCTGTATGATGAAGTGCTATCGATTGCGTAGCGGCTCTGACAGCTGTATACCACTGAGATTCTACAGTAGACGATGTGAGATAAGCGAATGGTACTCCCCAACAGTGTCGATAAGCTATCTTACGACCTTACATGTGATGTCTTGCTGAATCTAAAATCAGTCGAATCGTCTTGCTGTCGACAGTGACGGACAGTTTCACAAAGGTCAGTAGTGTTCACTCAAAGTGTTCACTCAAATACTCACTTCTTGGGAGAACTTTTGTATTCCATACGTCCAATCTTCGTTTATGTATTCACACTCGTAATCTTATTTCATGTACTCTTTATCATTCTTTCTCTTATGTTCCTTACGAATTCCCTCTCCTGTACACTGTCCTTCCTGCTACTCCTGCTGATGGATATTGACGCCCGTAAGATTTCATACAAATTATTACCATTGTTAATAGTGTTTACAATGTTATGGTTTGCGATGTTGCGATAGTGCCATGTCATTAGAATCATTCCTGTTGTTTTTTTTATTATTGTTTATCAAGGAAATCTTTACTGTTATTAGCATTACTATCATTTTCAATATTGAGATTGCTATTTCTATTACATAAGTAAAATTCCCATTATCACTATCATCATCTTCGTTGTCATTACCATTATCATTATCATCATTTTCGTTGTCATTACCATTATCATTATCATCATCATCGTTGTCATTACCATCATCATTATTTTTATCATTGTTATCATTAGTGTTTTTTCTTCACATCTATATCCTCAGTGTTATCACTATGAACTTTGAGGCTGATCATTCTATACTTTTCAAGCATCTGATGGTTTTAGCAAGGCATACAGAGGAGTGAATCTGATGCTACAGAAATATATATTTATCTATGTCGTTTAATGCAAATAGAACAACGAAGGGAAGAACATGAATTCCACATGTTAAATATCCACATCTATATCCCAGATTTCCAGTGGCTGTTATATATATACACACATTCCTCTCTCTCACTCTCTTCAAATACTTAATTCCCTTCCCAGATTCATTATACTTACAAAATTGATTTAAAGTAGCTAGCTATTTGTCGCGTGTAACTGTAGACTTAGGGTAAGCGACCTATCTTTAAAAAGGTACTGATTTTATGTGTACTTATCCTAACACTGTACTAAATTCTTCTTAAGCACGCTTCTGTTAGCAATCTATGTCTTTATATACATAAATATAGAGGGAGGTAGATAGATACACATTATTTTTCCGGATATGTATTCTACAGGACTCTATTTTTAGAATCCTGTAATATAAGAAATGTGAGAAAAAAACATATATAATCGAAACATCACTTACTCACAACACAAAGCAAAAATAAAAACATCACTCTTCATTCCCTCTTTATTTCAACAATCGTCATAAGGGGCCTTCGTTTCGCCGCTTACCTCACCACAGCGACCCACAATGCGTCTCGCCAGCGGTCACGTCGCCGTCCAGCTCCACGACGAAGAGCTGACGAAGATCCAGAAGGACTTCAAGGGTTTTGGCAAAGGCTTGGTTCGCCTGACGCCCGGGGAATGGCTGTTGCCGGCGCCTTACACCAAGTTCGCAGACAAGATCTATAATACGGAGGTAAAGTGGTGTCTTACAGTCGTGTGTTTACATGGTAATGTGCTGATGGAGGTAGGGCTTACAAGAGTTGGTTTTGTATTATATTATGCTTTAGAAGGAATCTTCTATACCTGATTTTAGACACGCTGTGTATTTGAAATGCCCAAAACATGTAAATAGGCGTGTGTGTGTACAAATATATACATACACATTTATATGGCAGTTTCGCGCGAGTGATGTCGTCATAATGACGTACCCGAAGTGCGGAACGACGTGGACGCAGGAGGTCGTGTGGACCATGAGGAACAACCCGAACCTCGACCACCCGAAGGCCGGCATTCCTGTCAAAGCTCGTTCGCCCTTTGTCGAGTAGGTATCAGCATGTATTCGGTTCTCTGTCCGTGGCCCAAGAGATAATACCCTCTATACGTATACAGCCCCATGAAAGAAACTGGTATTGGTTCCAGCAACGGCAGATCACCGTTAGCGCATTTTCTAACCTTGGCTCAGATTTCGAGTTATAGTTATGATATATGTGACACAGCCCCATGTATCAGATTTCTTATTCTTACTTTCAAAATTTCTTAAAAACATATAAATTCAAAATAAATAACAAGAATCGTAAGCTATGATACAAAGCATTTAACAAACGCATATCGATTACACTTTGCGCAAATATACAATGAACAGATGGAAGGTATCAATATCGTTTTGAGCAGCATGTTCCCCATTCATGCCGATGCGTAACATTGGGAAACCAGTCTTATCAGTGGGTCCTCTACATCCAGCGGCTATTGTATAAAAACACACCTTTAATGTATCACTCATTAAACACACTCACTCACCCCACAGCTCGGACATGCTAATGCACATGAGCAAAGACGTGCTAAATAGTGAACTCCTGGAGATGGTCAAGGACATTGTACCACACCCTAATCCTGACGAAGGCTTGGCGCTGCAGTTGACCGCCAACATCCCTGACCCTCGAACTATCAAGACGCACCTGCCTTTCTCCCTCATGACCCCTGACCTCCTCGATACGGCCAAGGTCAGTCTATGCGGCCCGTTTTGCGTGATGTCAACCTGAGTTCATGGAAGTGATTTGCTTATGTAATATCTTGATTCTTCCTCATAGCTTTCTGGTTATTACTATAACTGTTACGAACCTGATGATAACGATGATATTTACGGTAATGATAATAAAATTATATATATATATATATATGTATATATGTATATATATATATATATATATATATATATATATATATATATATATATATATTAATCATAATATGTATTCAAGCCCAAATACACACACATACTGATGTATGTATTATATATATATATATGTATATATATATATATATATATATATATATATATATATATATATATATGTATATATATATGTATATATATATATATATATATATATATATATATATATATATATGTATGTATATATATGTATATATATGTATATATATATGTATATATATATATATATATATATATATATATATATATATATATATATATGCATGTGTATATTTTTGTTTTATTTTTATTATTATTATTATTATTATTATTATTATTATTATCATTATTATTATTATTATTATTACTATTATTTATCTATTTTTATTTGACCTTACTCTCTTTTCGTCAAAGAAAAAAGTCGACTCTCAGAACCTGTAGATTTCATGCTGCTTCATGTGCCAATGTTCGTTATTTTTACCCATATTTAGCACCTATTTTGGCAATTGGCTAAAGGAATCGTTAAATACAGTAACTACACAGACATGGAAGCCAAACAAAAGAATAACGATGTTATACGCATGATGTTGCCATAACGATATCAATTGTTGTATTTCGCTCTATTACGTTTGGGTACTTCGAACTGCAGGCTAATGGTGTTATTATATAATATTCTGTGGAAAATAGAAAAGAAAGAGAAAAACGTCATCCGAAATTCGTTTTTTCTTGTTACTGCCGTCGAGTAAAAAAAAAGAAGAAAAAAGAAAAAGAAGAAAAAAAAAAAAACATTTCTACTTGTTGCTTATATATCTCCTTGTCCTCTCCTAAGGTGATTTACGTGGCAAGGAACCCCAAGGACGTGGTCTTGTCCTTCCTTCACCACAGCCGGCTCATGAAGAGTATGAGCTACGTCGGCTCCTTGGATCAATATGTGGATTATTTTGTTAATGACCAGCGTGAGTATTGCCCTTTTTATCTTGCGTCATGTGTTGGAACAAACCAGATCGCTGTGAACTATTTCAGTTGGATAGTTTTATGATAACAGATGAAAAGCTAATGGGTTATATGAGTATATTTTACTCTCTATCACACACGCGCGGTAAAGCATTCAATTTTGGCAGAAAAGATCTCAGCTTGGCCAGTACCTGATATACCCTTACTTAACACCTGCTTTGTAAAGAAAATAATAATGCAATGCATGATAAAAAAGTTATTACCGTTTTCTTTTTTTTACTTTGCTATTATTACAGTGATCTACGGGCCGTACTGGGAGCACCTTCGCGAGGCCTGGCCCAGGAGGGATCACCCCAACATGCACTTCGTCTTTTACGAAGACATGAAGGCGGACCCCATGGCGGAGCTGAGGAAGCTGAACCAATTCCTCGGAACTGATCTGACGGAAGAACAGCTGGAGAAGGTACAAACAAAAATGAAAATTTCTATGAATTGCCCCCCCCCTACGCAAAAGAATATCTGTGAATCATCACACTCCCATCTTTCATTATATTACTTATAAATGTTATTTTCGCCTGCATTTAAAACCTCTTTTTTATCCTGACATGCATACGTTTTATTTAACCCCTTTTTTTCATGACGGTGAACTTTGTCTCTCTTGCAGATCGCCCACTATACCAGTTTTAAGGAAATGAAAAAGAGAGATGAAGATTTTTACAAGGAGAAAGAAATGAGACGTTTGGATCAGGAAGTGAGTAAGAAGGACGGAGGTTTCTTCAGAAAAGGTGAGAAACTAAGGGTGATGAAAACTCTATAACTTAGATTAAGAATAGATAGGTGGAAAAATATATAGACAGAAAGATGGATGGGTGGTTGGGTGCATGGATAGATAGATGGATGGATAAATAGACAGAAAGATGGATGACTGGATGTATGGATAGATAGATGGATGGAGGGATAGAGGGATGGCTGGGTGGATGGACGGATAGATAGAAAGACGGATGGCTGGATGGATAGATAGATAGATAAATAGATAGATAGACATATGGATGGATGGAGATATAGATAGGTAGATGGGCAGGTAAGTAGATATATAGATAGATATGTAGACAGTGGATAGGTAGTCATACATATAGATATATAGATAGGTAGTTAGATATATATATAGATAGATAGATAGACAGACCAATCGAGAAATGGATCTACTCATGGCAAAGATAATAACAACAACAACAAAAGAATTATAGTGGTAACGATAAGAATGATAACAGAATAACGATATTGATAATGGGCATTGTGTAATACTCCCCGTAGGTGAAATTACATTAATAAGTACAGTTGAATCAAAACGATGTGTGCACCCGGCTTGATATTAAATGCATTCGGTTGGTAAAATATTGTAGCCTCCGGGCTAGTACAGTGGTAACGTGTCGGCCTTTCATCCGAGGGGTCGGCGGTTTGCGCCCCGCCCAGGCGCGAGAAGTTGCAATTGTCGCCTAGAGGTTACTGCTGTGGCTGGGCACCACGGTGGGTAAGGACTAAGCTCACCCGAGTCAGCACCTGCTGATACACTGTTAGCGAGTCGACATTAGTCGGCACAGGCCGGGCTCCCCTCATAACCCGGGCGAAGCAAAGCTTCGCATATCGGACTTATCCTTATCCTTAAATATTGTGTGTATTTGATACTATTTTCCCCTTGTTAAAACTATCCATTTGTTTTCCAGGTGAGGTCGGTTGTTTAACTATGTGTGCATTTTTTCCCTTTATTAATAGTATCCATTTGTTTTCCAGGTGAGGCCGGAAGCTGGAAGAGCCAGCTGACAGACACGCAAGAAGCCAAAATTAATGACTGGACGAAGGGGAATTCGCAGAAGCTCGGTATCAAGTTTAGGTATTCAGTGTAATTTTCCAAAAGATATTGGTAATATTCATGGGAGTCTGAACGGTCGTGTTGATGTATTCCAGAACACAAAACATTGTATTTATGTTTTGGATGGATGTGCAAGCATGTCATCCTAAGTATATTTCCGTAGACAAAAGCTGCATACACACACGCACACGCACGTAGTCACACACACACACGCACACACACACACACACACATACACACACACACACACACACATGCGCACGCGCAGCCACACGCATACACCATCAAACACATTTTTTTTTTGTCCATTAAAGCTAGAATGTCCAAGCTATTTTCATATTCCATTTATTCAATCCTCGAGATAGACTGAATGTTATATCATATCATCTGTAACACTAAGCCATTCTAAGAAGCACAATAAAACATTTCTTCATACTGATGTCAACCGAAATAAGGAATTAGGAATGATAAAAAAATGTTAACTGTAAGATAGTAGTTAGATTTTGAATTGATTATAATGCTTAGATAGATACGCATATATATATATATATATATATATATATATATATATATATATATATATATATATAAAATCTTTACAGGATTCATCCATTCACCCATAATTGTAAAAAAAAAGAAAATACATATGTATGTATGTATGTATATGTATATGCATATATATATGTGTGTGTGTGTGTGTGTGTGTGTGATATAATATAAACACACACACACACACAGATAAAACAGGTAAAATGTGAATGTAATGATTTTATTTAATGTAACCTCTCAGGTGATTGCTTCCGCTTCTATTCCTTTATTTGTACGGAGAACCTGTTTAAATACTCCTCTCACCCTAAGAAATACGTTGTGTTGATGTATTCGATTACATCTTCGTCAGAAATATAATCGAAACCATTCAGAGACACAGCACAACTCGAAATCAGTTAATTCACGTTTGTAACTGAAGCTGCCCGAATCAGAGTGACAGTTCCTTCACAGCACATCATTATATCTAGGTCCCATTGACCGCTACTGTTAGATCTACTAGTATTTATATGATCAAAGCAATTCAAGAACAAAGACTTCTAAAAGGACTGGCGAATTAGTTGCAGATAAGACACTAGAGACTATCATAACAATTTGTTATAATTAAGGGTAGAGGAATGACTCATCATTGATTCAAATGCTACGGCAAAGTCCAATGATCGGTTTAGAGTTAGTGGTAAAAGTAAACAAACAACTGACATATAGATGCATGGAATTACTGAGAAACGCAGGCACACAACTCTTGGGCACTTCAAGAGTAATGTCCCTATAAATAGTTCATATTTGAAACGGTTTCTATTGATAATCATATCTAAATTTACAATAAACTATATAAACTCGTACATATGCACAGTACTTATACACACATAATTGTGTATTTCATAAAAAAGTGTTAGAATGAGTTTTCTCGCATTTATTAAAGAGAAGGAAAGAGAGAGAATAAAGGGGCGCATTCTACTGAAGAATAATAAACTGAAAAAGTCTATGTTGATATCTTCATTAATCATCATTATCCGCTAATTATATTATTGTCATCATTATAATTACTTTGATTATTGTTGTTGGTATGTTATTTTTATCATTATTAACCCTTGTTCATTGTAATATAAGTTTATTTATTGTTTTTACACATAGATGGCTCTACAAGTGTTTAGTCACCAAGGAGTCAGTTATTAGTCCTAACCATATCACCTGTTTACCCTTTTCCTCGAGTTTTGGGAACCTTCATTTGTATTAATTTATTGTCTCAAATGTTATTATTATTTATTTAAAAAATCTTAATCATAATATCAGTTAGAAAAATAATAGTATCAATAACGATATTAGAAAGAAAAGCACACTTTCCCGCAGATTCAAGGAATGGTGAAATCAGGAATGGGGAAATCAGTCACTAAGGCCTACTGATGGACTCCTTGCTGGCTGAGCACATCACTCACTCTTATTATTATTTTTATTACCATCATTATCATTTGTTCTGTGATAATTATCTTCTTTTATTAACTGCCATCGAATTATGATCACCATTATACAGACTTATGTTATTTTCATCAAAAATTGCGTTAGTCATTAGTATCTCAATAAACAGTTTTTGATTTAGTTTCTCACATTTGAAATATAACAACCCTTTTATTGTAAAATGTAAACAAATTAACCTAAATTAACTCATTCTCAACTTTACTATTAGGTTGATCTAGTTTATAAACGTAATGCGTTCGTATTCGCCTTTTAATGGAGTCCAGAAGTTGGTATGTCGCCAGAATGCAAAGGTTGAGAACCATTGGGCTAAAGAATACTGCAAAAGAAAGTAAAGAATCGTGATTGACTGGTATGTCTGAAAAAAAAGCAGATCAAAGCAAAACTATTCATTCTTAAATTTTTCGAGTTTCATGACACAGCTCTTATTCAGGGAAGCAACATAGGGTGTAATATATTGATAACTGTGTGTTTACATCACAAAGGATATATTATTTCCATTTCATGGTCGTCTGCTTAACGTATGCATAAGATTCGACAGGCAAAGAAGTATAAACAGTGTTAATATGACCTTTTTTAGTGAACGCAAGATGCATGGTACAACAAACGAGTCAGGAATTACTGCTAAGATATCAGTCCTTTGCATAAGAATCAGGAATAAGTTAGATTTAACATAAGTGATTTTCGGGGGATCAAATAAGGGAAAAAAATAGAACATAATTTATATTATTACCACTCATCGGGTTTATTAGTAGCAGCCATAAACGGAAAGAAAATAAACAAACATTATCACTGAAATAACAAGGTCTCTAAGAGACGCCCTTTGCTAAGAGGGAAGTCGTAATATGGAACAAAATACACAATCAGTTAGGGGACAGGATAAGGGTACTTACAGAAAGAACCAGATAAATACATCTCTGGATATGCCCTTTGTCAGAGTATGAGAGAATGATTTTGAGAGAAAGAAAGGGAGGGAGGGAGGGTGTGTGTGTGTGTGTGTGTGTGTGTGTGTGTGTGTGTGTGTGTGTGTGTGTGTGTGTGTGTGTGTGTGTGTGAGAGAGAGAGAGAGAGAGAGAGAGAGAGAGAGAGAGAGAGAGAGAGAGAGAGAGAGAGAGAGAGAGAGAGAGAGAGAGAGAGAGAGAGAGAGAAAGCGAAAGAGAAAGAGAGAGAGACAGAACCAGAGCCAGAGAGAGCGAATAAGCCTATAACTGTATTCCACACATCTAGAACACTAAATTGAATATTTGAAGGTGATTCCGAGATCCAACGTGTTCTTCTTCGTCCATGCATCTATTTTGGCTGCCTGCATATCCGTGAGGCGGTCCTTCCACCCACCAGCTTCGCCTGCAAAACACATGGGCATTGAATAAACGGGAATAGTATTGCAAACATATACAGCCTATAGGCCTACGTGTGTATATTCAAATGTGTACATATTGCACACATACGTAAGCACGCAAGCACACACACAAACACACAGACAAACACACACACATACGCGAACGGGAAAACAAGACGATAGATGACTTTGTTTTTTGCTTTGACCTTCGGGGTTTCAATTAACAATTCAGACACACACGCACAAACTTTGTCTCTCTCTCTCTCTCTATCTATCTATCTCTTCCTCTCTCTCTCGCTATCTATCTATCTATCTCTTTCTCTATGTCTCTCTCTCTCTTTCTTTCTCTCTCTCTCTCTCTCTCTCTCTCTCTCTCTCTCTCTCTCTCTCTCTCTCTCTCTCTCTCTCTCTCTCTCTCTCTCTCTCTCTCTCTCTCTCTCTCTCACCTTTCCTGTAAAATCCTCCGTCTTTCTTTACCACTTCTTCATTAACAAACGTGGCCATGTTCTTCCCTTGCAATGCATCCTGCTCGTGCTTTTTCATCTCCTCGAAGCTGGTGTACTGAACGATCTGCAAATACCTTACGTTATATGTCTGGAAATTAAGGCTGTTTTGACATTAAAAGGGAGTGAATTTATTCGTTGTTTTATTAATTATCAAGAAAAGAGTGTGAAAAATATACATATAAACTGATGAGCTATCTAGGAACATGGTTTTGACATTAAGTATACGTTCTTTTTATTATCATTATTACCACTATTACTAGCATTATCAATTATTGTTATTATTATCATCATTATTATTATTATCATTATCATTATTACTATTATCATTACATCATCATAATTACTACTACTTCTACTACTTACTACTTCTACTGCTACATACTTCTTACTACTACTACTACTACTATTAACTATTATTATTACTACTACTACTATAACTACTTCTACTACTACTGCTACTACTATTGCTGCTAGAATCTGCCGTTAAAGAAAGAATCGAAAAAACAATAAATTATAGAGATAACTATGTCTCTTCTGCACCTTCTCCAGCTGTTCCTCCGTCAGATCAGTTCTAAGGAATTGGTTCAGTTTCCTCAGCTCCGCCATGGGGTCCGCCTTCATGTCTTCGTAAAAGACGAAGTGCATGTTGGGGTGATCCCTCCTGGGCCAGGCCTCGCGAAGGTGCTCCCAGTACGGCCCGTAGATCACTGTAATATTACATTATCTGTTAAATCTCTATACAAGGTAGGTAGGTAGGTCTCTCTCTCTCTCTCTCTCTCTCTCTCTCTCTCTCTCTCTCTCTCTCTCTCTCTCTCTCTCTCTCTCTCTCTCTCTCTCTCTCTCTCTCTCTCTCTCACCTTTCCTGTAAAATCTCTACCATTAACACCGCTACTACTACTTGTATTACTACTACTACTACCAGAGTACTACTATTTATTTGGCGATATGATGAATGCCATGTTGATCTAAAATAACTAATGCCTATAATGTCAGAATCTGATCACAAAAATTCCCCAATTTCTTGAGAACTCATAACAGCTCAGACCTGAAAATTGAAAATCATAAAAAAAAAACTATTCAATACAGCCAATTTTATGCCGAACGAACAACGAACAAAACCACTCACACTGGTCATTAACGAAATAGTCGACGAATTGTTCCAAGGAGCCCACGTAGCTTATATTTTTCATGAAGCGTGTGTGGTGAAGGAAGGACAAGACCACGTCCTTGGGATTCCTTGCCACGTAGATCACCTTAGAAAATAAAAGAGTTCGGGAATTAGGGTGAAGGAGGTAGGAAAAAATCACGTAAAGGAGAGAGATAGAGAAAAGAAAGAAAGAAAGAAAGGCGCGGAGTTAAACCATAGTTTAATACAAGACTCTATTCTAGGACTAGTTTTCCCTTAGTAGAGTACCCTTTAACGATTTTCAATATTCTTATCTCTTTCTGGTAGCAGCAATATGATAATGAGAGCGATGGTGACAGTGTATTAGACATAACTAATGATCATGGTAGCAGCTATTGTTGAAAACATGGTAACGATAGGAATGATAACTCAATATTGGCAATGACAATATTGACGGTAAGGATGATTATAATGATAATAATAGCAATAATATAATAGTAATCATAATGATGATGATAATATTATTGGGCTAATAATGATATTAAAAATAATGATTATAATAGTATTCAAAATAATTATGATAACAGTATTAAAACTAATGATGGTAATAGTATTGAAAATAATGATGATAATAATATTAAAAATAATGATGTTATCAGTAATAGCAATGTTAAGAATCAATCACAGTTAACATCATCAACATATATAAATAGCTAATGACACACCCATCCCCCCTCTCCCTCCTTACAACTGACCTTGGCCGTATCGAGGAGTATATGTAATCCTTATGCATTTAACATGGAGCTGAGGGTGAACGTATTACGAAACCAAAGCATATTTTTATGATAGTAATATGTATTCATAGCAGTATATAAAATAATAAATGGGGGAGTGTGGTATGAATTTTATGCAGTCTTAGTAGTATGTTGTCATGATGAGAGAAATCTGGCATGAATCTGCAGCAGTGTATGTAATTATGAATGAGAAAAGTATGGCATGAAATGTATGCATTCGTAGTACACAGAGAACCGATACAAACTCGATGAAAGGCGAACGAACGCTGACCGGGGCGCTGGCCTTCGGGTGGTCGAGGTTCGGGTTGTTCCTCATGGTCCACACGACCTCCTGCGTCCACGTCGTTCCGCACTTCGGGTACGTCATTATGACGACGTCAGTCTTACGGAACTGTTGGAATGCCAGTCTTTTTATATCTGGGTCTCTTACAGAACTCATAACAGCTCAGACCTGAAAATTGATAATCATAAAAAAAAACAAACTATTCAATACAGCCAATTTTATGCCGAACGAACAACGAACAAAACCACTCACACTGGTCATTAACGAAATAGTCGACGAATTGTTCCAAGGAGCCCACGTAGCTTATATTTTTCATGAAGCGTGTGTGGTGAAGGAAGGACAAGACCACGTCCTTGGGATTCCTTGCCACGTAGATCACCTTAGAAAATAAAAGAGTTCGGGAATTAGGGTGAAGGAGGTAGGAAAAAATCACGTAAAGGAGAGAGATAGAGAAAAGAAAGAAAGAAAGAAAGGCGCGGAGTTAAACCATAGTTTAATACAAGACTCTATTCTAGGACTAGTTTTCCCTTAGTAGAGTACCCTTTAACGATTTTCAATATTCTTATCTCTTTCTGGTAGCAGCAATATGATAATGAGAGCGATGGTGACAGTGTAGTAGACATAACTAATGATCATGGTAGCAGCTATTGTTGAAAATATGGTAACGATAGAAATGATAACTCAATATTGGCAATGACAATATTGACGGTAAGGATAATTATAATGATAATAATAGCAATAATATAATAGTAATCATAATGATGATGATAATATTATTGGGCTAATAATGATATTAAAAATAATGATTATAATAGTATTCAAAATAATTATGATAACAGTATTAAAACTAATGATGGTAATAGTATTGAAAAATAATGATGATAATAATATTAAAAATAATGATGTTATCAGTAATAGCAATGTTAAGAATCAATCACAGTTAACATCATCAACATATATAAATAGCTAATGACACACCCATCCCCCCTCTCCCTCCTTACAACTGACCTTGGCCGTATCGAGGAGTATATGTAATCCTTATGCATTTAACATGGAGCTGAGGGTGAACGTATTACGAAACCAAAGCATATTTTTATGATAGTAATATGTATTCATAGCAGTATATAAAATAATAAATGGGGGAGTGTGGTATGAATTTTATGCAGTCTTAGTAGTATGTTGTCATGATGAGAGAAATCTGGCATGAATCTGCAGCAGTGTATGTAATTATGAATGAGAAAAGTATGGCATGAAATGTATGCATTCGTAGTACACAGAGAACCGATACAAACTCGATGAAAGGCGAACGAACGCTGACCGGGGGCGCTGGCCTTCGGGTGGTCGAGGTTCGGGTTGTTCCTCATGGTCCACACGACCTCCTGCGTCCACGTCGTTCCGCACTTCGGGTACGTCATTATGACGACGTCAGTCTTACGGAACTGTTGGAATGCCAGTCTTTTTATATCTGGGTCTCTTACAGAACTCATAACAGCTCAGACCTGAAAATTGATAATCATAAAAAAAAAACTATTCAATACAGCCAATTTTATGCCGAACGAACAACGAACAAAACCACTCACACTGGTCATTAACGAAATAGTCGACGAATTGTTCCAAGGAGCCCACGTAGCTTATATTTTTCATGAAGCGTGTGTGGTGAAGGAAGGACAAGACCACGTCCTTGGGATTCCTTGCCACGTAGATCACCTTAGAAAATAAAAGAGTTCAGGAATTAGGGTGAAGGAGGTAGGAAAAAATCACGTAAAGGAGAGAGATAGAGAAAAGAAAGAAAGAAAGGCGCGGAGTTAAACCATAGTTTAATACAAGACTCTATTCTAGGACTAGTTTTCCCTTAGTAGAGTACCCTTTAACGATTTTCAATATTCTTATCTCTTTCTGGTAGCAGCAATATGATAATGAGAGCGATGGTGACAGTGTATTAGACATAACTAATGATCATGGTAGCAGCTATTGTTGAAACCTTGGTAACGATAGGAATGATAACTCAATGACAATATTGACGGTAAGGATAATTATAATGATAATAATAGCAATAATATAATAGTAATCATAATGATGATGATAATATTATTGGGCTAATAATGATATTAAAAATAATGATTATAATAGTATTAAAAATAATTATGATAACAGTATCAAAACTAATGATGGTAATAGTATTAAAAATAATGATGATAATAATATTAAAAATAATGATGATGTTATCAGTAATAGCAATGTTAAGAATCAATCACAGTTAACATCATCAACATATATAAATAGCTAATGACACACCCATCCCCCCTCTCCCTCCTTACAACTGACCTTGGCCGTATCGAGGAGGTCAGGGGTCATGAGGGAGAACGGCAGGTGAGTTTTGATGGTTCGAGGATCAGGTGTGTGGGCGGTCAGCTGGAGGGCGATGCCTTCGTTGGGGTCAGGATCTGGAACAGCGCCTTTGAGGAACTCGGACATGAGACTTGTCGTTCCCTCTTTCCCCATTGCCATGAGCATGTCGGAACTGAGGATAAAGCAGAGGGATTCATTTCGACGTCAATCATTAATGGGTTTTGTTTATTTGTTCGTCCACGTGTAGCTGATCATGGTAATAGGGAGCTCAGGTTGAATGTATCATCAAATCAAGGCATATTTTTCATGGTACTGACTTGCATTGGTAGCAGTATATGTAATCCTTATGCATTTAACATGGAGCTGAGGGTGAACGCATTACGAAACCAAAGCATATTTTTATGATAGTAATATGTATTCATAGCAGTATATAAAATAATAAATGGGGGAGTGTGGTATGAATTTTATGCAGTCTTAGTAGTATGTTGTCATGATGAGAGAAATCTGGCATGAATCTGCAGCAGTGTATGTAATTATGAATGAGAAAAGTATGGCATGAAATGTATGCATTCGTAGTACACAGAGAACCGATACAAACTCGATGAAAGGCGAACGAACGCTGACCGGGGCGCTGGCCTTCGGGTGGTCGAGGTTCGGGTTGTTCCTCATGGTCCACACGACCTCCTGCGTCCACGTCGTTCCGCACTTCGGGTACGTCATTATGACGACGTCAGTCTCACGGAACTGTTGGAATGCCAGTCTTTTTATATCTGGGTCTCTTATAGACTCCCATTGAAATGGAAAAGAGCCTCTCAAACTACCACTGTTAAAGAATATAACGTGGGACGTTTTACCTAAAATAAACACAGATATAGAATACTGGGAATATGTTGAGGAAAAGTATATATGTATACACACACACACACACACACACACACACACACACACACACACACACACACACACACACATATATATATATATATACATAGATATACATATATATATATATATATATATATATATATATATATATTTGTATATATATATATATATATATATATATATATATATATATATATATATATATATATATATATATATATATATATATATATATATATATATATATATATATATATATATATATATATATATATATATATATATATATATATATATATGATTGATTCGGTTTTACGTCACGAACTTATTTTAAAAGACGTTGTTTCTAGCAGGTGGCGGCCGTTACCCCGAGTGAATGCCCTTCCGTTTAATCTCGGACCATTGGGGCAGGATCCGGACACGCGCGCTGGGTGACCGACCTCATGGTCCCCAGTGTTAATGCTGTACCACGGGGCCGCTAGTAGTATACATTATATCTGTCTATCTATCTATCTATCTATACTTGTGTAAAATACAGATATCGGTATATATGCACACAGACACAAGGAGTGAGTGTGAATGAGCGTATGTAACATCTCAAAAAGCATTTACAAAAATAACCAATTATTCACCTAATAAACTTATCAATTCAATACAATTATATAAATGAAAGTCTTATTGGTAACAAAATGATAATTAGAATCTTGATGGTAAGATATCATAATCATCATCATCAGTTCAAGCTCGTAAATGCACATACCAAATCATTATAAACCATTTATAGTCACTTTAACCCGTGGCGCCGGGAACATGTACTATCCACTGTTATTTTATTTTGAGAAATATGTTTACTTATGTTTACGTGACTTTTCGTTTTTTTATGCTTTTGATATTGACGCTACTATTATCATTATTGTTATTATTATCATTAAAGTTATTCTAATTTTGTTATTAATATCATAGAGACATGAAATAATATATTTTCGAATATCAAGGGGAACGGTATATATGTGAGATGAGTTGCGTTAGTGATTGATTTCTTGGTGACTAAATACTTATGGAGCCTATATGTAAACGCAATTTATAAACTAAACTCGCAGCGGTTATGTCATATACATACCATCCTTATACCGTCATATCATAGTCCGCCTTTTTAAATATAAACCATTTATCTGGATGACATGACCTTTTCATAAAAATCAACCATTTATCTGGGTGACATGACCTTTTTTAAACAACCATTTATCTGGGTGACATGACCGTTTTTAAACAACCATTTATCTGGATGACATGACTCTTTTTAAACAACCATATATCTGGGTGACATGACCCTTTTTAAACAACCATTTCTCTGGGTGACATGACTTTTTCTAAACATCAACCATTCTTCTGAGTGGCTTGAACCTTACCTTCGTATTGTATAGCTTGTCCGCGTACTTGGGATAGGGCGCCGGTAACACCCAACCCCCGGGCGTCAGGCGAACCAGGCCCTTCCTGTAACCTTCAAAGTCTCTCTGAATCTTCGCTAACTCTTCGCCTTCCAGCTGGACGGCGACGTGACCGCTGGCGAGACGCATCGTGGGTCGCTGTGGGGGTTGTGGGTTTGCTGTTCACAGAGAGGGAATGGATGGGTCAGTGACGAGGTAGATAAAGGGAGAGAGAGGAGGGAGGAAGAAGGGGAGGGGGAGGAGAGGGAGAGGGGATGGAGAAGGGAGGGAGAGGGGAGGGGGAGGGAGGGAGAGGGAGAGGGAGAGGGAGAGGGAGAGGAAGAGTAAGAGAGTGAGAGAGAGAGAGAGAGAGAGAGAGAGAGAGAGAGAGAGAGGGGAAGGAGAGGGGAGGGGGAGGGAGGGAGAGGGAGAGGGAGAGGGAGAGGGAGAGGAAGAGTAAAAGAGTGGGAGAGAGAGAGAGAGAGAGAGAGAGAGAGAGGGAGAGAGAGAGAGGAGAGAGAGGAGAGAGAAGAGAGAGAGGAGAGAGAAGAGAGAG